CCCATCCTCAGAGTTTCTGATTCAGTGAGTCTAGAATTTGCATTTCTAAAAAGTTCCCAGATGTTCTTTGCATAAAGCACTGGTCGAGAGTGGCAGGCCCTGGCCAAACTGCAACAAAAGAATAATGGGGCGTTGTGGGGAGCTAATGTAGTTCCAGCAACTCAGGAGGCTGAGGCAAGAGAATCACCTAAGCCCAAGAGCTGGAGGTTGCTGTGAGCTGTGACGCCAAGGCACTCTACTAAGGGTGACAAAGTAAGACTGTCTCTAAAAAAAGAAAGAAAAAAACCCCTCAAAATTGTTATCATAGTTTTCCAATGAAGAGAGAAAGGTTATGATTACCTACCAACAGATTGTTGAATTCTGTGAAGGATCTAAGAGTTAAGAGTTAAGTTTATCTGGGTGGCACTTGTAGCTCAGTGGATAGGGTGCCAGCCCCATATACTGACAGTGGTGGGTTCAAACCCGGCCCCAGCCAAACTGCAACAAAAAAATAGCCGGGCATTGTGGTGGGCACCTGTAGTCCCAGCTACTCGGGAGGCTGAGGCAAAAAAATCACCTAAGCCCAGGGGTTGGAGGTTGCTGTGAGCTGTGTGACGCCACGGCACTCTACCAAGGGCGATTGAGAAAGTGAGACTCTGTCTCTACAAAAAAAAAAAGGAGTTAAGTTTATCAATACTTTATTATAATAGTAGCCAACATTTCTTGATGCTTATGATATGCCACATACTTCTTTTTTCTTGAGATAGAATCTTGCTCTTTCACCTGGGCTAGAGTGCATAGAGTGCACGTCACTGTAGCTCGCTATGACTTCAAACTCCTGGGCTCAAGCCATCCTCCTGCCTCAGCCTCCCAAGCAGCAGGGACAGGTATGTGCCACCATGCCTGGCTAATATTTGAATTTTTTGTAGATACAGGGTCTCACTATGTTGCTCAGGCTGGTCCCCAACCCCTGACCTCAAGTCCTCAGTCCTCCCAAGTGCTGGAATTAATGCATGAGCCCCTGTGCCCAGCCCCTTTGCTCATTTTTAAATGGATTATTTGTTTTTGTTGTTGTTCTTTTTGTTGAGTTGTAGGAGTTCTTTATATATTCTGGGATTAACCCCTTATCAGATATAATCTGCAAAATATTTTCTCCCATTTTGTAGGTTACTTTCTCATTCTATTGATTGTGACCTTTGAAGCATGGGTGTTTTTAATTTTTATATAGTTCAACATATCTATTTTTTGTTGTTCCTGTGCTTTTGGTACCCTATCTTAAAAATATTGCCAAATCCAATGTCAGGAAGCTTTTCCCATGTTTTCTTCAAATAATTTTGTAGCTTTAGATCTTATTCCATTTGAGTTAATTTTTGTATATGGCATAAGTAGGGGGTCCAAAATCATTTTTTTGTTTGTGGATATTTAATTTTCCCAAAACCATTTGTCAAAGAGCCTGCCCCTTCTCCACTGAATGGCCTTGGAATCTTATTGAAAACCTTTTGACGGCCAGGCACAGTGGCTCTAGCCAGTAATCCTAGCACTCTGGGAGGCCAAAGCAGAAAGATCGCTTGAGTTCAGGTCAAGACCAGCCTGAGGAAGAGTCAGACTCCGTCTCTATCAAATACAGAAAAACTAGCTGGGCATGGTGGCTGGTGCCTGTAGTCCTAGCTACTCAGGAGAATGAGGCAAGAGGATCGCTTGAGCCCAAGAGACTGAGGTTGTTTTCAGCAATGAACCACAGCACTCTATTCAAGGTGACAAAATGAGACTCTCTCTCAAAAAAAAAAAAAAAAGAAAAAGAAAAGAAAAAAAAATAGCAGGGCATTGTAGACAGTATCTGTAGTCCTATCTTATCAGGAGACTAGGGCAGGAGGATCTCTTGAGCCCAAGAATTTGAGGTTGTGGGTGGTGCCTGTGGCTCAGTGGGTAGGGTGCCGGCCCCATATACCGAGGGTGGTGGGTTCAAACCTGGCCCCCGTCAACTGCAACAAAAAAATAGCTGGGCGTTGTGGTGGGTGCCTATAGTCCCAGCTACTTGGAGGCAGAGGCAAGAGAATCATCTAAGCTCAGGAGTTGGAGGTTGCTGTGAACTGTGATAAGACAGCACTCTACTGAGGGCAATAAAGTGAAACTCTGTCTCCAAAGAAAAAAAAAGGCTCAGCGCCTGTAGCTCAAGTGGCTAAGGCGCCAGCCATATACACTAGAGCTGGCGGGTTCAAATCCAGCCTGGGCCCGCCAAACAACAACGACAACTACAACCAAAAAATAGCCAAGCATTGTAACGAGCACCTGTAATCCCAGCTACTTTGGAGGCTGAGGCAAAAGAATTGCTTGAGCCCAGGAGTTGGAGGTTGCTGTCAACTGTGATGCCACAGAACCCTACCCAGGGGGACAGCTTAAGGCTCTGTCTAAAAAAAAAAAAAAAGAGTTTGAGGTTGCTATGAGCTGGGCTAATGCCAGGGCACTTTAGCCTAGGCAACAGAGTAAGACTCTGTCTCAAACAAACAATAACAAAAGAGTTGAGTATATGTGTAGGAATTTGTTTCTGAGCTCTATATTCTATTTTTTCATTCTGTTTCATGAGTGAATAATAGTCTGCTGTATAGACCTTCCATATTTTATTTATGGTAAGCATAATATTTTGTCTCAGTATTTAATCACTTGATGGTGTCACTTCTGTGATCTGTGGACTACTAAACCCTTGCCCAGGACCTTGTTGGTTTTTTTTTTTTTTTTTTTGAGACAGAGTTTCAGCTGTCCCCCTGGGTAGAGTGCCATGGCATCTACCAACAGCTCAGAGCAACCTCCAACTCCTGGGCCAAGTGAGTCTCCTGCCTCTGCCTCCCAAGTAGCTGGGACCACAGACGCCCACCACAACGCCTGGCTATTTTGTTTGTTTGTTTGTTTTTGGTTGCAGGCATCATTATTGTTTGGCAGACCTGGGCTGGATTTGAACCCACCACCTTAGGTGTGTGTGGCTGGCACCTTAGCCACTTGAGCCACAGGCGCCAAGCCTTTTCTTTGTTTTTTGTTTTTTTGAGACAGAGTCTCACTATGTTGCCTTTGGTAGAGTGCTGTGGCGTCACAGCTCACAGCAATCTCCCTCAAACTCTTGTCCTTAAGCAAGTCTCTTGCCTCAGCCTCCCAAGTAGCTGGGACTACAGTGCCCCCCACAATGCCTGGCATTTTTTGTTGCCATTGTTTAGCTGGCCTGGGCTGGGTTCGAACCCACCAGCGTTGGTGTATGTGGCAGGCACCATAACCACTGTGGTATGGGTGCCAAGCCAGGACCTTGGTTTTGATTATTAAAACATTGACCCCTCTGAAAATAGTATCTTTATTTTTGTTTGCATTGCTTTTTATTTATTTGCTTAATGCTTGTACATTCTCCACTGAGATTCTACTGGGACCTCAGTGTGGAGAAAATCTGTTCCATCTATCACAACAAACAAGCTGCCAGTACATGCCTAGGAAAGACAAACTCCATTGCTAAACTTTCATCTACAACTGTTACAAACCTCTAATAGGGTGGTTCTCAACCTTCCTAATTGCCACATTGTTACAAATGGAAAAAAGGGGTCGCAACCCACAGGTTGAGAACTGCTGCTCTAATCAAACCTAAAATAACTCAAGGCCAGGCAAGGTAGCTCATACCTATAAACCTAGCACTCTCGGAGGCCGAGGTGGGTGGATTGCCCTGAGCTCACAGGTTTGAGACCAGCCTGAGCCAGAGCAAAACCTGGTCTCTAAAAAATAGCAGACATTGTGGCAGATGCCTATAGTCTCAGCTACTTGGGAGGCAAGAGAATCCCTTGAGCCCAAGAGTTTGAGGTTGCTGTGAGCTGTGACATCATGGCAATCTATCAAGGGTGACAAAGTGAGACTCTGTCTCAAAATAAAATAAAATAAAATAACTCAAGCCATGTAAGCCATCCTGCTAATAGTTTCAGTAAGACCAGTCCTGCATTATGTGTGGAATGCTTTCTGATTTTCAAAGCAGGCAGTGATTTTTGTTTTGTTAATTCCTCTTCCTATTCCTGCCATATAGCAAAGTGTCTGCTATACAATCAGTTCCTCCATCATACTTGTGGAAGAAAAGAATAAAGGATTGCAGCTAACATTTATTTGAGGCCAGGCGTGGTGGCTCACATCTGTAATCCTAGCATTCTGGGAGGTGGAGCCTGGAGGATCCCGTGAGCTCAGGAGTTCAAGGCCAGTATGAGCAAGAGGGACACTCAGTCTCTACTAAAAATAGAAAAACTAGCTGGTCGTTGTGATACACTTGTAGTCCCAGCTTCTCTGGGAGGCTGAGGCAAGAGGATCACTTGAGTCCAGGAGTTTGATGTTGCTGTGAACTCTATCACAGCACTCTATCAGGGTGACAGAGAGAGACTCTGTCTAAAAAGAAACAAACAAACAGAAAGTAACTGATTTAAAAACAAAACATTTATTTGAGTGCTTCCTAAGTGCTAGTCTTGTCACACACATTATCTCATAATCTCATGAATTCCACATAGCAAGCCTGTCTGTTGGTCCCCATTTTACAGAGGAGGAACCTGAGGCTCAGAAGAGTTGAGTAACTCACTGAGTTTATACACTGGTTAGGTGGAAGAGCTGAGGAATCATCAAAGTGAATAAGGCAGGGATTCTCTATTTCATTGAGGGTCATAGCCAAGTCAGATGCCTCAGGGCCTGGTGACAATCTGCCTGGGAATTTTGCTGAACCACAACCTTGTGGACATGGTCAACGAGCTGTTTTCTGTTTTGTTTCAGGCTCCAGAAAATACCCTCAAATAGAGACCCGGATCTTCCATCATGTACAATGCAAATTCTGTGGCTGGAAAGCTTGAGTATGGAGAGGAAAAAGTTGTGTCTTTTTCATCGTCCTTCTCTGATGACTTCGTTGAAACTCCGCTTGCGTCTCCACTGACACTGGCTTCCCCGGCAGCGGTCACCAGGGGCGGAGCTCAGCGCGACTCCTCCTCCCCTGGTTTGCATCCGCTCCCGGCTGGGAGCGATCACCTACCGCTGAACTTCTTCGTTCCTCTTCTCTGTTGCCTTCCCTTTTTCGTTGTCCCTTCGCGCCCCAAGCCACATCCTGGAACCCGCTCCCCGGCGAGATCGTCAGCTGGGACCGTGCAGCCTGCGCGGCCGCTTTATCTCCAGGGCCCACGACTCGCTCTCGCGCATAGAGCGGGCAGCGTCACTGCCCGGCGGAAAGTTTTTGGTGCCGGGAGGAAGTTGAACCTTCGGAGACTCGGAGAAAGCAGCCCGGGAGCCTGCGCTGGGTCTGGGTGGCCATGGAGGAGCCCCCTCTGCGAGAGGAGGAAGAGGGGGAGGAGGAGGAAGAAGAGGACGCAGAAAGGGACGAGGCTGGGCCTGAGGGGGCCCTGGGCAAGAGCCCCTTCCGGCTGACCGCCGAAGACGTGTATGACATCTCCTACGTGATGGGCCGCGAGCTGATGGCCCTGGGCAGCGACCCACGGGTGACACAGCTGCAGTTCAAGATCGTACGCGTCCTGGAGATGCTGGAGGCGTTGGTGAGTGAGGGCAACCTCGCGGTGGAGGAGCTGCGCATGGAGAGGGACAGCCTCAGGAAGGAGGTGGAGGGGCTGCGCAGAGTCGGCCCGCCGGACAGCGCCGGTGGGGAGGTGAGTGTGGGGAGCACGGCGCGTGGGAGGGTGCCCCCGTTGGCAGGGGGGCCCTTGTCTTTCTTGAGGGCCTAGTCCCTTGTGACAATTCACTGTGCGGATCCGATGCTCACATGAGAAGCAGTATGGTACTTTACTTTTTTTTTTTTTTGTAAGCTATCGCACACCCCAACTTGGCCATTATCTTAGGTACTTCCAGTTAATTCTGACAATCCAGAGAAAGGCATTACAGCCTTACTTAGAATAACAAGACATAAAAATGAAACATAAAACGATAAGAAGAAAAACCAAACAACACAACAGGAACAAGATCCTGCGATGACAAGGTACTTCACATTTATTGAGCACTTACTAGATGCAGGGCCCCGTGCTGTGCTCCACACTAGCGGCCCCCATCACATTTGCACACTGTCCCTCTCCATGCGCAGCTCCTCCACTGCAAGGTTGCCCTCACTCACCTCCCTGTTACCCAGACTAGAGAGACGTGGTGTCATCCTAGCTCACAGCAACCTCAAACTCGAGGGCTCAACCAATCCTCCTGCCTCAGCCTCCTGAGTAGCTGGGACTACAGGTGCCCAAAACACCTGGCTAATTCTTCTATTTTTTTAGTAGAGAGGGGGTCTCGTTCTTTTTCAGGCTGGTCTTGGACTCTTGAGTTCAAGGGATCTTCCTGCCTCAGCCTCCCAGAATGCCAGGATTACATGTGTGAGTGAGCCACCTCACCCAGCCAAGAAACACATTTTGACTAAAGAGAAATTAGTGCATATTTCCACACACACACAAAAAGACATGGACAAGAAGATTCAGAGCAGCTTTAGTCATAATGGTACCAAATGGGAAACATTGCAAATGTAACAGATTTATAAAATTGTGGTATAGTCCCACAATGGAATACTATGCAACCATGAAAAAGAACCCAGTACAGATACACATGATAGTATGCATGAATCTCACTGATGTTACATGGAGCGATAGAAGCCAGGCACAAAAGAGAACCTACTCTGTATTTACATAAAATTCAAGAACAGGCAAAATAATCTTTAGTTATAGAAGGCAGAATGAAGAGGGAGCAGAAGATAATTTAATAGAGAGCTAGAAATGTTCTGTATTTTAATGAGGTGTGGCTACGCAGTTCTGTACATATGCATATGTTAAAAATTGTCATGCTGTAAACTCAGGATTGGTGCGTTTTACTGTATGTATATTAAACCGCAATTTTACCAAATTACGTTTCACCTTACCATCCAGTATTGATAAAACAGAAGTTTCAAGAAACAACTTACCCTAACCTGCCAGTACTCTGCATGATGCCTGTAGTTTCTTTCCTATTCTAAGAGTTCAGTTTGTGACTTGGCGCCTGTGGCTCAAGTGGCTAAAGTGCCAGCCACATACACCTAGGGTGGTGGGTTCAAATCCAGCCCGGACCCGCCAAAACAACAATGATGGCTGCAACCAAAAAATAGCCAGGCGCTGTGGCGGGCGCCTGTAGTCCCAGCTACTTGGGAGGTGGAGGCAGGAGACTCGCTTGAGTCCAGGAGTTGGAGGTTGCTGTGAGCTGTGATGCCACAGCATTCTACCCAGGGGGACAGCTTGAGGCTCTGTCTCAAAAAAAAAAGAAAAAAAAAGAGTTCAGTTTGTTATAAAAGGTTTAGTCAACAAGTCCAAAGGCTATGTCATCATCAGATTCCTCACATTCTTCTTTCTTTGCCTTTTTTTTTTTTTTTTTTTTTTAGATTTTGGCCGGGGCTGGGTTTGAATGCACCACCTCTGGCTTGTGGAACAGGTGCCCCACCCCTTTGAGCCACAGGTGCCACCCTCTTCTTTCTTTGCTTTTGACTTTCTTCCCCTCAGCTGGGGAGCAGGGGTTGGAGGAGGTAGGGGAGGCAGGACCCACATTGTAGAAGAGGCTGTTGATGTTGACACCGGCCAGAACCTTTGCCAACAGGTCACGTTCACACTTGCTGCTTCAGTGAAGGTGTCCTCTTTGTCCTGCAGAATAAGGGTGGCCGTAGATAGCTGCCTCTCCAGGTGTTAGTGGCGGGATGACCCAAAAGGCACCTATTCTATTTTTATGAGTTTTTAAATTCTTGTTGCAATTCATTAAATTAATTTCACGCCTCCCTGGTAGTTCTCCATCCACACTTTAAAAAAAAAGCTGCTGTAAGTGGAGTATCCTCACACTATTATTATGCCCATTTTCCAGAAACTAAGGAACAGAACAGTTAAGTAATTTGCCTAAGAACTTACAGCAAGTAAGAAATGAAGTCAGGATTTGAACTCAGAGTCAATAGTCTTTTATTTTATTTTATTTTATTTTTGTAGAGCAGAGTCTCACTTTATCGCCCTCAGTAGAGTACCGTGGTGTCACACAGCTCACAGCAACCTCCAACTCCTGGATTTAGGCGATTCTCTTGCCTCAGCCTCCTGAGTAGCTGGGACTACAGGCACTCGCCACAAGGCCCAGCTATTTTTTTGTTGCAGTTCGGTCGGGGCTGGGTTTGAACCAGCCACCCTCAGTATATGGGGCTAGCACCCTACTCACTGAGCCACAGGTGCCGCTCAGAGTCAGTAGTCTTAATTACTCCATTCTAAAATTGTTGTACTGACATTGGATGAGTGACTGTTACATGCTAGGATCTGGAACTGTGGAGGTAAAATTTGAAAAGGTCTTTGGCCTTACAGAGCTTACATCTAGTGGGAGAGAGGTCAGACAAGAGCACAGACCCAGAACCACAAACACAAGTTTGCAAACCAAAAGTATGCCATGAAAGAACAACAGGAACAGGGTTACTGAAATGCATGGAGAAGCATGAAGTTTTCCAGTAGTTTCTCTGATACCTTTTATTTCATTTCTTTCTAAGTCACCATGGTGACAACTATATTTGTAGATAAGGTTCTACTTTAGTATCCATCATGTGAGATAGTTGAGTAGGATGATGAGTAGCCTGTTTTTTCTTTTTTTTTTTTTAAACTGTATTTATTTTCTTTTTTCTTTTTTTGCAGTTTTTTTTTTTTTGAGACAGAGCCTCAAGCTGTCCCCCTGGGTAGAGTGCCGTGGCATTACAGCTCACAGCAACCTCCAACTCCTGGGCTCAAGCGAGTCTCCTGCCTCTGCCTCCCAAGTAGCTGGGACCACAGGTGCCCGCCACAACGCCCGGCTATTTTTTGGTTGCAGCCGTCATTGTTGTTTGGCGGGTCTGGGCTGGGGATTCGAACCCGCCGCCTTAGGTGTACGTGGCTGGCGCCTTAGCCGGTTGAGCTATAGGCGCCGAGCCTTTTTTTGCAGTTTTTGGCCAGGGCTGGGTTTGAACCTGCCACCTCTGGCATATGGGGCCGGTGCCTTACTCCTTTGAGCCACAGGCACCACCCAGCCTGGTTTTTCGAATTAAAGAAAGTAAAATGACTTCCCCAGGATGGCTTGGTCCATGCTATTTTTGTCCTGATCTCTAGGTGGAAACAGAAGACGCCCCATTAGGCAGCACTGGGAACCCTGCGGTCTGCACAGGGTCTGGGTGATTTCCCAAATGGGGCAAAGTGGACAAGTTTCATCAGGTGACAGATGAGATAGCAGATTTTCTTCCCAAACCGCAGCCTTGAGAATGGGGGTAGAGAAAAGGCATAAATTAAGAGAACAAACTTTGAGTACCACAAGACAGTTTGTAAAAATGTGCCATGTTCTTATTTTCTCTCTGGTTTGTTGTTGTTGTTGTTGTTGTTGGTTTTTTTTGCAGTTTTTGGCCAGGGCCAGGTTTGAACCCGCCACCTCTGGTATATGGGGCTGACTCCCTTGAGCCACAGGCGCTGCCCCTTTTTGGTTATTTTAAATTATTTTTTAATTGTAGGAAAAAATACAAGTAATGGCAACTTTACTGTCTTAACCATTTTTAAGTGTATAGTTCAGGTGCATTAAGTACATTTACATGGTTGTGCTTCCATCACCATCACCTACCTCTAGATCTTTTTCCCAGGCTTAGTAGCTCATGCCTGTATCCCAGCACTTTGGGAGGCTGAGCTTGAAGGATCACTTAGAGCATAGGGTTAGAGACCATCCAGGGCAACACAGAGGAAACCATAGTTACAAAAAAAAAGATTATGCAGGCATGGTGGTGGTGAGTGCCTGTAGTCCCAACTACTTGGGAGGCTGGAGCAGGAGGATCTCATGAGTCCAGGAGTCAAGGTTACAGTGAGATCCTACCTGAGTAGGAGTGAGATCCTGTCTCTACTAAAAATAGAAAAAACTAGCCCAGCATGGTGGTGCATGTCTGTAGTCCCAGTTACTCAGGAACTCAGGAGGCTGAGGCAAGAGGATCACTTGAACCCAGAAGTTTGAAGTTGATGTGAGCTCTGATGATGCCAAGCGTCTCTATTGAGGGCAACAGAGTGAGACTCTGTCTCAAAAAAAAAAAGGTTATCGTGAGCTATGATCATGCCTCTGGGCTCCATCCAGGGCAACAGAGCAAGATCTTATCTCTAAAAAATATAAACTGAAACTTTACCCATTAAACAACTCTGCAGGCTCAGCACCCATAGCACAGTTGTTATGGCACCAGCCACATATACCAAGGCTGGCGAGTTCGAACCCAGCCTGGGCCAGCTAAACAACAATGACAAACTGCAACAAAAAATAGCCTGTGTTGTGGCAGGCACCTGTAGTCCCAGCTACTTGGGAGGCTGAGGCAAGAGAATCGCTTAAGCCCAAGAGTTTTAGGTTGCTGTGAGCTGTGATGGGACAGCACTCTACAGAGGGCTACATAGTTGAGACTCTGTCTCAAAACAACAAAAAACAAAGCTCTGCACTTCCCCTACCTGCAGTTCCTGGTTAACTACTATTCTACTTTTCTGTCTCTATGAATTTACCTATTCTGGTTACTTCATGTAAGTGAAATCTTGTTATATGTGTGCTGATGTGACTGACTTATTTCATTTAGCATAGTGTCCTCAAGTTTCATACATGTTGTGGCATGTGTCAGAGTTTCTTTTTTAAGGTGAATAATATTCTA